CCATCCACCCACCCATCCATCCATCCACCCATTCATCCATCCACCCACCCAACCATCCATCCATCCACCCACTCATCCATCCATCCACCCACCCATCCACCTGCTCATCCATCCATCTACCCACTCATCCATCCATCCATCCATCGAGTCATCCACCCATCCATCCATCCATCCACTCACCCATCTATCCATCATTTATCTATCCATCCACTCATCCATCCATCAATCCACCATCCATCCATCTATCTATCTCTCTATCCACCGATCCACACATTCTTTCATGCACACCACAGCCCACCCAGGAGAATAGCCCTGGCCTGTGCTGAGTTGCAGGACACGGGGAACCTCCCCTCTGGATCTCACCTTTGTAGACACTGTTCCAGCCGCCCAGCCGGGCTGCGCCATCCTGAACCTCCAGGCGGCCACCATTGTCTGAGGTGAAGTAAACCAGGGTGTGGTTGGCCAGACGCTCCTGATCCAGTGCCTGCAGGATTTTACCTGGGGTTGGGAGAAGTGGACACAGCGTTACCTGGCAGGTGCAAGCGAACCACTGCCCCACCTAGACATGCTGGTAGGGGTTAGGGGTCAGGGGTCAGGGGTCAGGCAATAGGGCAGCCCAGCAACTGGCAGGCACTTCCTGAACAAGAGGCTGTGCAACCCGGGTGTGAGGGAGACTAGGGGAGAGTGTTCAAATGACAAGAACATCACTACAGTAACAGACACACTGGCTGAATCCTCCCCCTGCCTCGCTTCGCACACCCTCCTCCCAGCGTCCTGGCCACTTCCCGCAGCCCCTCTGGAGTCCTCTTTCCTGAGGTCTTCACCGGGTGTGATCACAAACACAGTGACTGCTCTGCTAGGTGCCATCCAGCGCAAAAGCAGCTTCTGTACCTCTCTCTCTCTCCTACTCTGGGAATTGATCCCAGGCTCTTTGTCCTAAGCTACATCTTGAACCCTTCTCATTTTTCATTTGGACACAAGGTTTCCCTAAGTCTCTAAGCTGCCCAGGCTGGGTTCAGACTCATGATCCTCCTGCCTCAGCCTCCCAGAGTGCTGTGACGACAGGTGAACACCACCATATCCTCTGCAGAATCATTTTTCCTAGGACTCGGACTCGATATCTGCATACTTACCCACCATCCAATCCATTTCTTCTACATTGTCCCCGTATAATCCATATTTACTGTGCCCCACGAACTTCTTCCTGGTGATAAGCGGGCTGCGCACGTGCAGAAAGGCAAAGAAGAGGAGAAAAGGACCCCGCTTATATCTGAGGGACAGAAGGTGGGCAGTTAACTTCAGGAACTGCAGCAGCCCCCAGTGCAGCCACGATTCTGTCCTCATTAGAAGATCTCATCATCTGATCCCAACCTCTCACTGGGGCCCCATGGGCTTTCCTCAAAACCAATTCGCCAAGTCTTAAACACCACGGGCAGCTTCATGGTGACACAATGGCAGGGTTTAAAAGGAAACTAAAAATTTGCATCAGCTCCAAAACCTTTAGTGCGGTCCATTTTCCGTTCTCTGTTATGCAGCTTCGGGTCTGACAGGAAGTCCGTCTTTGGTGGACAGATGATGTCCCTCATAAAGCCAGCACATGTTTCTCTTCTGCCATCTGAGAGCTTTGTCTCAAGTCTAGGATGGGAAGCTCCTGCCCTGAGCAGAGCCCTGGATGTGCCACACAAAGACTCTGATATCCAGGTGGACACGTGCTTGCCCTGAACAGACAAGTTTCCAGATTCCTGTCAATCTGCTAGTGTCTGTTGGAATGGACCCCATCCCAGGGTGAGCAAGAGGACATAAAAGTAAATGCACAACATGCCATTTGTAGAAAGGGGGCCTTTTCCTTCCTTCCTGCTTCACGATGCCTGGAACCCAAGCATGATGGCTGGGTCTTTGGCAACCACTTTGGGCCAGGAGGTTGCTCACATAAGATGGCAGAGGTGGGGCCGGAAGAAATGGGGTGGTAGTAACCTTCTGATATCAGCGCCTCGAGGAATGAATAAACCTCTGTCATTCACATCTCACTTTGGGGGTTCTACTTTTCCTTTTTCGTGGTGCAGGTGTTCAAACTCAAGGCCTCACACATGCTAAGCACTACTCTATCACGGGGCCTGCTGAGACAACGGAAATAAAGCCAAGGAAAATCCACACTGCCGATTTAGGGTGACTCTGATTTCTAACCTAGGAGTGAGCGAGCATGGAAAGAGAAGGGAACACTACATTCACGTCCACATAGCTTCTGCTCAACAACTAAAATCCAAACTTAGGAATAGTTAGATATTTAGTTAGTTATTTGGTTGGTTATCTTGAGACAGGGTCTCGCTATATAGTTCACGCTGGCCTTGAACTCAGTATGGAGCCCAATCCAGCCTGAAACTTGAGGCGATCCTCCTGCCTCAGCCTCTCAAGTCACAGAATCATCATTTGTGTGCCACCATGCCTGGCAAAACTAGGAATCTCCAAACTCAAAGCCTTTCCCCAGTCGTTTACGGACAGATATGTCCTTCCAGCTGTGTCCAAGATGTGGCAAACTCGAGATCACATCCCAGCCACCCAAGTTTCAATCAGTCGAGGAGACCCTAATCCACATGGAAATAATATAGATTACGATACACTGCTCCGGGTTTGGGAAGCAAAGTGGATCAATGAGGAGAATATGTTCATCTGTCTTTTCCGCATTCAACAACTGTGGGAAATTTATCTTATTCTACCTAAGGAGACATTCAGGTCTATCAGAACAATCACACGGACTATCTTCTCTTACTGTTGCTGCCTGGGATGGAACCGAGGGCCTCGTGCATGCTAGGCTGGAGTCCGACCCCTGAGCAGCAGCCCTCGGCCCCTCCCGAAAATGACTTCGATCCACCCGGTGGAATCAGCGCAGAACCCCCACTCACACAGACAGGTAAAGAAAGGCCTGCATACCGTTCTATGAAGCCCAGCGCCTCCTTCACCAAGAGAGAGGAGACCTTGTCCTCTCTCATGGGCTGCTGCACAATCTCGTGGTTACGCATGAGGATGCAGTTCCAGCGCCGCACAAACCCATAGCTCCAGAACCAGCAGAGGAAAAACAGCACGGCGAGGACGGCAAAGAGGACAATGAGCCCCCAGGGCACCGGGAACCAGCCGGCCAGTCTGGGTACCAGCAGCAGGAGCGGCAGCAGGCCGAGGGCCACCGTGGAGAGCCAGAGCTTCATCCTGAGCCACCGGTGCAGCTCTGGGGCCTTGGAAGCCTGGCAGTCACCCAGGAGCCCGAAGGGCATCCCGTAGAAGTAGTCGAAGCCGTGGTTCAGGGGGTGGTAGCAGTGGTCGTTTCTGGATGCACAGCTCAAACCTAAGTGCCATTTTCCTGGGAAGAAAGGCAATAAAACCCTTGGCAACACAGCCTCGGACACCCACCTGCTCCTGCCGTCCGAACTCACTTTCAAAAGCAAAGTGAGACCCGGATTTCAGTGCCCAGCCCCTGGGTGTCCTCTCCGTCACCCTGACATGGCTTCGACGCACACTTGATCGCAGGTGTCCGACGCCTCTTTCAACGTGCTCTTCATCCTCAGACAGAAACTGGGCAGCTCACAAGGCCACCCTTGCTGGAAAAGAAGGACTCCTTTTATGCAGGAGAAATAGTTTGAAGGGTATCGGATGACGCTGTGGACCCCTGGAAGTGTTCCGAGTATCTGGACCAAGCCGGGAGCCGACATCAATGGCTTTGTTGTTCCGTGGCCGCTGAGCTTCGGTACCTTGGGCCCACTGGAGCTCTTTCCTGGAGGTAACGCCCACTCCCACATCCTGCCCCATCGAAAAGAAACCAGACTTGTCTAGATGGACTTATTCTCCAACAGCCCCAGATTCAACTCAGCAGCAAATTTCACCAGCGGTGAGGTAATTCCTCTATATGGAACCCATATCCAATGGGCCAAGACAGCTTTTTATTTGCCCATTCACATTATTGTATTAAATTCTACCCAGAACCATCATTACCAAGGGGAAATGGACCATCTCCATGTATTCACAGGTCTGAAGTCACAAAAATGAATAACACAACCCTTGATTGCGAGTTATGTTTGTCCGTGAGCTAAAGATGGGAGAAAGTTCCTCAAGGATAATACAGTGGTACCTTGCTTCAGGAACTTAACTCCTTCCATGATTCTGGTCTCAAACTGAATTAGACAAGCACTGAATCAAATTTCTCCAAAAGATCAACACTGAACCTAACCATTGAATTTTATTTGGTTCTCATTCAACTCATAAAAAGAATGAAGCTTGTGAACCAAGGCACCACCACCTTTCCCACACAGAAAATTACGTGAGACTATGCATTCTACTGGTTGTAAATTCATAGTTTATTATAACTTTTAAACCAAAGGAGCATCATAAGTGTGTCTTACGATGCACATTGATAATTCCCTCAAAGAGATGGTATGGACACTTTCCCTTCCCTCAAATAGAAAGCTAAATTTTTTCAAATCATCTGATCACCAACTGTTGTCTTGGAAGATGACAAGAATATCTGATCAGTCCATAAATCTTTGGAAACTCTTCCTGTATTATAGGTGAGATTCTATTCCCATTCTTCACCAAGAGCACAGACTAGGGAAATAACCCACTAGGAATTCCTCCCACTTGACAGCGAGCCACACCTTCAGTTCTCCAGAGCACAGCATTCATTCCAACATCTACTTGTCTTCTGGCCACCAGCTGTGTCATAAGAGCAATGAGTCCCCTACACAAAATTCCACTTGGAAATCACTGGTCATTTGAGAGATGCAGATGAAAACAACGTTGAGATTCCACTTCACTCCAGAAAGAGTGGCTGCTATCATGAAATCAACCAATAACAAATGCTGGCGGGGCTGTGGGGAAAGAGGAACCCTGCTCCACTGCTGGTGGGAGTGTAGACTGGTGCAAGCACTGTGGAAATCAGTATGGAGATACCTCAAAGAACTAGGAGTGGAAGTCCCATTTGATCACACTGTTCCACTGCTGGGGATCTTCCCCAAAGAATTAAAAGAATCATACCACAGTGATATATGTGCACCCATGTTCATAGCAGCACAGTTTGTAACAGCTAAAACATGGAAACAGCCCAAATGCCCATCAACTGGAGACTGGATAAAGAAGATGTGGGGTTTTTTTATAAAATGGAGTACTACTCAGCCATAAAGAATGAGAAACTAGTGACATTTATAGCTAAATGGATGTACATTGAGGCCTTACTCTTAAGTGAAATAAATAAGACACACGTGTGTAAATACCAAATAGTTTCTCTAGTGTAAGAAACCGAAAGTGTAAATAAGGATCAAAATGTATAATAGATAATATGAAATAGGAAGAAAAGGTCCAAAGGGGAAGGAGAAGTGGGAGGAGTAGGGGAAAAGAGAGAAGGAAAAGGAAAAACTATGAGAAAAAGAAAAACTGGAAGCAAAGTCTTCGTAAGTAGGGAGGGTTGGAGGGGGTGAAGGGAGGGCAGGGGAATGGGGAAAAGAAAAGAACCAAGATACATCATGTAAAGGTACAAGACCCCAGTGATGAGCGTCAGCGTACTGTATACCTAACACGTACCGATAAACTTAATTTTTTACAAAATTCCACTGTGATGGCACAGGCAGGCGAGCATGTTGTGTTTTCACCTTGAGTGCCAACGGGGCTGGCCTTGCTCCCACACACGCAGAGCTCGGGCACCGTACCTATGAGTCCAGTGCGGTATCCCCGGTGCTGTAGCAGCTCCGCAAACGTCGTCTCATTGGCAGGGAGGCCGCCGGATCCAGCCAGCCAAGGGAAGTCGCGGTTCACATCGGAGGAGGACGCCATGCCTAAATTTGCAAATCCAACACATGCATATCATGCTCCAACTCCCCGTGACACTCTGTGAACCCCAGAATGAAACCTGGTGTGTTTGGAATTCCTCCCTTCAGCACTCCGTCAATGCCGTTTTCTCCCCTGTCCTTTTTCTAGCTTTAGATTCACTCTCCAGTGACCCATGGAGGATTGGGAACAAGAACCCAAGACCATGGGGGAACCAGCATCCGTGAGTGTTCAAGCCCCTAATATAAATTGGCTGAGGTTTTCCATTGAACCTATGCACATCCTCCTGTGCAGTCTGAGTCACTTCTAAGTGACTAACAATACCTAACCCAAGGTAGATACTGCGTGTGATAATGCATTGTTTCGAGACTAACACGAAGAGAAATTCCACACACACTCAATACAGAAGCAATTGTTTTTAGCTTTTTCAGTCAATGCTTGGTTGAATCCACATATTCAGCAATGCAGATACAGGAGACAGCTAATCCTCCCTCTTATTAAATGCAAATATTCCCTCAGAATGAGCGATGGTCCATTAAATACTTATGGGACAGCCAGGTGCATTTCAATTTTGTACTAGCAATGAATAATTATTTTTAGGGTAGATATATCCCCAATATTTCATGAACAAATGCTTGCATCAAAAATGTACAAGGTGTGATCAAACTATATGGTGAATGTTTAACTAAAAAAACCTGTATTACAGTAAAAGTGACATTGTCATGAATCCTTTCAAAATCCTCACCTGTCTGTGCACACCCTCCTCCCACCATCCTGGCCGCGTCCCCGCAGCAGCTCTGGAGTCCTCTTTCCTGAGGGCTTCACCAGGTGTGGTCACAAACACCGTGACTGCTCTGCCGGGCGCCGTCCAGCGGAAAGGCAGCTCGGAAACACACGACGCTGTGTCCTCCTCCACCCGAGTCACCGCAGCTGGCACCGTGCGACTCCTGGCTCCTCCCCAAGGTCAGGATGACCGGGAAAGGTCACCGTTTTGAGTCCACTCAGGACACTGAGGCAGCTGGGATGGTGCAGCTAAAGACCCCCAGGGAAGAGGACTCCAGAGCTGCTGCGGACAGCGGTCAAGAAGGCAGGAGGTGGGTGTGCACAGCCGGGGAGGATTTGAGGGGATTCACGGCCCGTGTGGCTTTCACTGTAATAAACTGTTTCTCATTTAAATATTTCCCATTTGTTTTTATCCTATCTTGTATTTGTTGGTGACTGGGAACTGAAAACATAACCAGGCACCTTTATCTGATCTCACCCTTGGGAGTCAGTTCTGAACTCCAGTGCCACGTGACTCTGGGCTGAAGCTCCACATCTGTGTCCCTTTACCCCTGAAATTTAAGGCTTCGTCTTCCCAACCAGACATCTCTCGATGTGGGAGCTAAGCATCCCCTCACCACACACAGCCTACAGTCTTCCTATCTCAAACTTATCCCAACAAAACACTGCACTGTCCAGTGTCAGGTCCTGAAAACCTTACATCTATAAACCCTTCCATTGGCCTTCAATTCCATGACCTGAGGACATAGCTTCTGCCGATACTATGAGAGTCCACCAGCTCATCTCTCTCCTTCCATTCTCTGTCACCTTCCGGGGACTCTTAACATTAGACCTTCTCCCAAATCTAACCTCTCTGATGCTTCCCCACTCACAGCTGAAATTCAATCTTTTGGTATAGTTTATGTTGTCTCTCTGATTTTCATTGCAGCTACCTGCTTCTCACAGACAGCTTGCTGTCACATAAATTATCTTTCCACGTATGTTCCTTTCCTCCTGAGCTCTTACATCCCCAAGAACATCTTCTAGAAGGACTGTCCTCATTTGGCTTATGGGACTTGGGAGCTCTTGTGCATCCTTGGAATTTGGAAAGAGAAATTGCGAATGACTTCCAACTCCTGGACCCCACATAGCTTGGGATATTGTTGTACCTTGAATACGAGGTACTCCCAAAAGGCTCAGGGTATGGAAGACTCGGTTGCTGATGGACTTTGGGTGAGATGATTAGATTGTGATAACTCTGAACTCATTACTGGGTTAATCCATTGATGGGTTCAAAATTTGATGGCATGATGAGAAGTGATGGATGCTTAACAGGTGGTGAATAACTGCTGGAAGTGGGTCATGAGGTGAGATCTTGGGGACTTTATCTGCTCCCTGGCTCCTTCCTCTTTGATTTTCCTCTCTCTCTCTCTGCTTCCCGACCACCATGATGTGAGCATCTTTTCTCCCCCATGCCTGTCCACCGTGATGTTCCTGCCTTGGAGCAGCTGACCATGGACTGAACTCTCTGAGACCATAAGCCAAAATCAACCTCTCCTCTTCTAGATTGTTACTTTAGATATTTTGTCACTGTAATAGAAAGCTGACCAACACAGACATGCGCCTCTTACTTAGAATTTCATCTGCCTGTGAGTTAAAGGCACACAGGTGAACGATGAACTAAAAGAATCAAAATTCTTAAACATACGAGTAGCTCTGTGAGTCTGTCTGCCAATGCTTTGCCCTTCTCAACACAAGAAAAATTCTACATCAGAAGGATGCTCTTGACCAAATCTTACACAGCAAAAGCAGAGGTGTAATTTTTGAGAAATCAAACTGCCCAGATACTGCAAGGTGAAGCTCTTTAAACTTAGATTTCTACTATGCTGAGTGATCATTTCAGAAGGCTGAGGAAGACTTGAAAACATAAATCATTTGGAAAGGCTTGCATGTGGCTCAGTGTTACAGCTCTTGTCCAGCGAGGTCCTGGGTTCTATACCCAGCTTAGTGTAAAGCAGGGAAACATGATAGACAAGAGAGGAAGGAAGGAAGGAAGGAAGGAAGGAAGGAAGGAAGGAAGGAAGGAAGGTCAGGCTGACGACGCACCTGCCCGGATGGGGTAGCGCCCAGTGAGGAAGGCAGCCCGGCTTGGGGTGCACATGGAGGCGGCCGCCAGGTGCTGGGTGAGCCTCACGCCCTCGCTGGCCAGGCGGTCAATATTAGGGGTGCTGTGGAGAAATTTTAAAAAAGGAGAATCCACAAGTGAGTTTCTAAATCCCCAAAGAATGATCGAGTTTCAAAGGCATTCTGTCTCAGGTTCAGAGTTTCCCATTAACTCAAAATACATTTTTTTATTAAGTTCCAGATATCAAAGAAATGGTTTAAAATCCTACAGACTGCAGTACCCCTCACCCGGTCTGTGGTGTGGCTTTCTGAGGATTCAGTTACCTGACATCCAGCGTGGTCTAAAAACATCACGTGGAAACCACACTTTCCTGAGGAGCTGGATGAAATTTCAAGCTGTACTTCCTCATCCTACCTGCGGTGAGAATGGTCTATCTGTGCAGCGTATCCACCCTGTATATGCTACCTGCCCTTTACTATAGAATATAACCAAGGCATGGGGCTGTCAAAAACTGCAGCCATCCCCTGAGATTATCCAGCAGGCTACATATCTAAGATGCTACAGCATTGTACACTTTCAACAATGGAAAACAATTTGGGTTTATTCTTAATAAAATAATGAAAATAGAAAATTAAAGTATTAAAAAAATCTTGAAAAAAGATGAACAGTGCGGCCTCTGTATTTCACTACAATAACAAAACAACATTAACCGCTACGAACTAAGGAGGCCAAGGTGCTAAATAGTGTCTTCATTTTTTGCAACTTTCCCGGTACAACTTCTGCTCATCTGTTCTTTCTTTTTTCTAGTACTTAGCAAGGAGCCCAAGATCTCATGCATGCTGAAGATTAAAAAAAAATGCTCTACCGCTGAGCTACGTACCGAGCACTTTTTAGTTTATTTTGAGACAGGGTCTCACTCAGTTGCCCAGGCTGGACTTGTGCCTGAGATACTCCTGCTTCAGCCTGCTGAGCAGCTGAGTTCCTCTCTACAAAGTGCTCTCCACCAGAGCAGAGACGTGGGGTGGGGACAGCAGGTGGCCCCACACCAAGGCGGGGCGTTTTACTGTCCGTCTTTACCTCACTGTGTTATTACCGTAGCAGCATAGATCCCCCACCCCGAGGTCATCCGCCATGAGCAGAACGATATTGGGCCTGGAACTCCTGGTCACCAGCCTGCTGCTCATTCCCACACAGAAGCAGCAGAGGAGCACCCACTGCCAGCCGCGCCTGAAGGCATTTGGGGGGAAAACAAGGGGGAAAAAAAAAATCACAATTAATGTCTGCATTTTAGGTAAAATCGATCAATTCTCACTGGAGCATGTACCCACTTGGGCTTGCTCAGGAGTCAGAATTTCTTTTCAAAGCCATTTTCTAAGTTAGTATAACATCACGCTTGATACTTCTTTCTTTCTCTCCTCTCTATCTTTCCATTTTCCTACATGGGACTCAAGTTTATCCTTCTTTGTGGCAGAGTAGTACTTCACTGTGTGTAAACACATTTTCTTTATCCATTCATCTGCTGATGGACATACAGGCTGCTTCCAAGATTTAGCTATTGTGAGTTGTGCTGCTATATGCATGGGTGTGCACGGATCACCATCGTATGATGTCAGTTCTTTTGGGAAGACACCTAGAAGGAGAAGAGCTGAGTCCAGTGGAATTTTTACTTTTAATTTTTTGAGGACTCTCCATCCCGATTTCCACAGTGGTTGGACTCATCTACACTCCCACCACGAGTGGAGAAGGGTTCCTTTTTCTCTGCAGCCCCACCAGCATCTATTACTTGATTTCATTTTTCCATATCACAGTCATTTTCAGTGATTGATTTTCCATCAGTCCACGCTTGCAGGACAGGAAGAGTCCATTCCGGGTGGGGAGCTGGTGCACGCACAGAACTAGCATCTCTCTCTCCGGGAAGGTGGCATTTGCTAATGAGGGTTTTAAAATTTGCAAAATTCAATGCTCTATCCCTTTGGGACTCCGTGTCCTTCCAAACACGCAGTTACTGCTAAGTTGGAAATTATCTAAATAAAAGATGGAAACAGGTCTACATTGCTAGTCTGAGGGAACTGGGGAACAGAAGTCCTTTCCAGGCAGTGGAGTGGTGCTCACTCACTTTGGGCAACTATGTGCTTTGGGACATTTTCTAAGAATACAGATGTAAAGGAATCGCATGGGTAGGGTGAGAACACATCCTAGATTTCATCTTTTGTGCTCCACTTTGTGACACTGGGGTTTGAACTTGAGGCCTTTGGACTTTTTCCTTCCTTCCTTCCTTCCTTCCTCCCTCTCTCTCTCTCTCTCTCTCCTTCCTCCTTCCAGTAGCATTTTGCAAAGCTGCAATCCCCCACCTCAGCCTCCAGGGTCCTCCACCATGCTGGCCTTTGGTTTTCTTAGAGAATCAAATCTGCCACTGCTGTAACTTAAGTGCATTCTCCAAAACTTCACGAGCTGGAAATCTGACCCCCAAGTGCACACCTCGGTGGTCTCTGGCAGTGGGGCCTTGGAGGGGTGTTGGGTTGGTTGCTGCGGACCCCGTGACAGCTCTCCTGGGTTTATAAGAAGGGGAAGCAAGGCCCAAGACCCGCTGGTGTCTCCCCGTGGGACGCTCTTCACCCAGTCAGGTGCTTCCAGAAAGTCCTCCCCCGACAGCAGCCCCGCGGTCTGCGGCTTCCGGCCTCCCCATCCCTGTGCCACGTGAGCCTTCATTCTCGGCACAGCAGCCTCCGGGTGGGCTCAGGTCGTCCCAAGCCCGGGCTCTCTCTGGAGACCGTGTGGGTGTGCATTTGGGGACCATTGCTAGGCCGCTAGTGCCGGGCACTTCCTGTTCGCTGAGGACAGAGGCCTCCTCCCCCTGCAGGTGCCTTTCTCTACGCTCACGGGACTGCTGACCTCGGGATGGGAGAGCAGCCACTGGCAGCTCCTTCTGCTGTGTGGAGCTGAGCTCCTACTGGGGTCCCTCCTTTTAGATTCGGGCAAGACAGGTTCACGTGGGACGAGTGAAATTGTTCGTGTTTCTTTGCATTTTCTCACACCGGGAAGCCGATGGAGCCGCTGCTCGCTCCCCAAGCAGAACTTCAAATGGTGTTCCAGTCAATTGCATCACCACCAACTCTGCATTTCTCCCCTACAAAGCCAACCGCAGCTCCTGCCTGGCGATCACAGGTGCTCTTCGCTCTTCGCTCCTGAGCACCCCGCTTAGTTGCCCACCCACCCTCCTGGCCCTCTCCTCCTTGACCTCAGAGAGTTGAGGGTTTCCACCTTCGGATCCCCAAGTCCTGCAGACACTGGCATCGCGGCCCCTGTGGGTCCAACTGCTCCTGGATGTTTCCAAGAGTGCATCTCCCCAAGCTTGCGTGGGCCTATTGCAGTATTCAAGAGCCCACAGCTGGAAGTGTCAGTCCTTGCTGCACACTGGGTTCCTGGGGGTCACCTGTGTGTCACCCCCAGAGCTCATGCCAGCATGGGGCCCAGGAGAGGACTGCATCAGAAGCCTTCATGCGGGTTCGGCCACCCCAGGGTGTCTCCCTGCTGCTGGGGCTGCAAAATCTCACAGCACACAGGCCCCTAGCTCCTGGGCATCCAAAGGAGCACCCGGGGCTGCCGTCTTCACTCTCGGGAAACCCACTGGTACTGGTGAGAAATACCCTAAATACCCTGTGCTCTCAGCAGGATGCCTGAATACCCAGGACATGGCTTTCAAAGTACTCATGCGATGGAGACAGACAGATGGGAGATGATAGCCAGACAGATGACAGATAGATAGACAGATAGACAGACAGACAGACAGACAGATATGCTGGAAGGATAGACAGAATGGATGGATAGCTAGCTAGATAATGGATGGATGGATGGATGGATAGATAGAAAAATTGATGAATGGATAGATAGACAGATATAGATAGAATGGATGGATGGATGGACAGATGCTAAACATTGATCAATAATGGCAAAGAAACATAGCTACATGTTAGATACAGCTACATAGAAATACATAGATTGTGGCGGATAGATAGATGATGGATATAGACTACATAGATAGAGACAGAGAGAAAGCGTGGATGGATGGGTGGATGTTACAGAGAAATAAGATAGACACATGGATAAATGATGAATGGAGATCAATGCATACATACATCGATCAGTACATAGATAGATCGGTAGTTACATAGATCAATATATACCCAGACAGAGAAGGACACAGGTAGATGATTGACGGCAGATGGGAACCCGATGCGCAGACACACAGCGTTCGACATGAGCAGCCCAGGCTGCTTCAGGACAGCAGACCCCAGTCCACGAGGGCTGAGCCCGTCCTAACCCTGCACGACCTCAGTTAAGGCTGCAAAGCACAGAAAGCAAAACTCAGGGAAAATGTAAGATATTAATTGACAGTCCACAGTAGCACGGGATTTTTAAACACAGATCTCTCAGATCAACAGCAACCAAAATGAGCCTCAATACAGAAATCGTGGACAGCCATCGGTTCTCTCCAGACACGAAACGAGACAATTCCGCGTGCATTTCCCTACTCACCAGTCACACAACGGTTGTCGCATGGCTTCTTAACTTGTGACCTGGGGCAGAAAAGAATAAAATTAGAACATCTACAAAGCAAATTGTAGTCGGGCGTGGGGAAGCACGCCTGTCATCCCAGCACTCTGGAGGCTGAGGCAGGAGGATCGTCACAAGTTTGAACCCAGCCTGGTCTACATAGGGAGACTTGTCTCACAAACAACACAAAACAAAACAAAAACCAGCAAATCTTTCTTTGTCCTGAGACAGTCAGGAGTCCGAGCTGTTGATTAGAAGGTTGTGCGCTCAGGCTAGCTCTCATGGTAGAATTCCCAAAACTCTGCTGACCCCACAACAAAACCCTTCTGTGTTGGAGTCAGTACAATCAAAAATAAGCAATAGCAGAATCTCAGCTACTTTGGTGTGCTGCTGTGCTAGACAAACACATTCTTTATGTAGAGTGGTTCTAGTGATATCTACCTCAAAATGGAGAAAATAAACAGCAGACACCTGCCACGTAGCCCTGGTGGCTGAATTCATTTCATAAGGGAGAAAATACCAAGTATTTATGATCCCTTCATGAGCAGCTTATTTACCTACCATCAGATGAATGGATAAAGAAAATGTGGTATTTACACACCACGGAGCACTACTCTGCCATGAAGAAGACAAGCTTAAGCTTGAGTCATTTGTGGGGAAATGGATGCACCCTGAGACCATAATGCTACCTGAGGTAAATCAGACACAAAAGCTTCAGTGTCATGTGGTTTCTTTTATAAGAGAAGACCAGAGTATAAAAAAGAGCAAAATAAAAGACTGAAAAAGGAAACTGGGAGAGCGTTTGCAAAACAGAAGGGGATGGAGAAATGGAGGGAACAGAGGGAGAGGGGAGTAAAAAAGGACGCCACGGGCTGTGTACGCACTGCACACATGGACTCAGGAGAGGGAGGGTCTGCAGAATGATCACATAAGCCGAATCTCACACCACACATCCTGTTCGCACCACATACGAAGCCGATGGGGCTTTATCGTTTCTCAGGGGCTCACACGCACTTGGCCCAGCTGGTCTCTGAAATCTCCAGCTTGGCCCAAGGGGGACCGGTGACTCTCCCGTTTCACAAAGAGGAACTTGGAGAGGTCTTGGCTGCTCAGTGGTAGCCCTGGAATGCAAATGAGGCCTCTGAGACTCAGTGGGGAGTATGCAAGTATTGCGTGTGTGTGTGTGTGTGTGTGTGTGTGTGTGTGTGTGTGTGTGAATGAAAATCCCCATTAGCATCTGAGCACTGCACAGAGCCGGGCCCCGGGGAACGCATCTTTAAGGAGCAAAGATTAACACTGGACCACATTTTCCTCTCCAGTCTTCCTCTCTGAGTTGGGTACTTGGCCTGTTGGGTGGAGTCCACAGTGATTTTCACCTCTCAACCCCACTGACCCACAAATCCACACCAAGAGCATGTCGACGTCCCACGAGGTGGAAGACACACACGGAAATACACGGATCCAGGATGGGCCAGCCTTTGTGCAAAAGGCTCCCAACCACAACCACAAAAGCCCCAGATGATTTTTGGATTTTTCAACAACTGCAGATACGTAACGAGATGTCTTGCAGATGGAACCCAAGTCTACACATGAAATTCACTTATGTTTCAAACATGCCTTCTACTCAAAC